TGCAGCACATCACTGGATGTAGCTTCTAAAGTTCAGGAAACTGTTCATCTCCATTAAGATTCCTTACTTTTTAACACCAAAATCTTGTTGAATCTTAAAATTCTTACATGAGAAAAAGTAGCAAAAATAAATTTGTTTAAAATTATATAAAAGTCATGAATAGAACATATCAAAGAAACACTGCTTGAAGAGGGCCTCACTGGTGAAATGTAGGATAATTTTATAATAAAAAAATAATAATAATGCTAGTATGGCTTATAAACCATTGAATAAAATTAAAATGCATGAGTTCATATTAAAATAAATAAAGAGAAAGAAAAGATCTTACAGTAGAATGCCCACTAATAAATGTATAATAATGATGGAATTAGAAAATCACTATTGTACAATAATCCTTATCATTAATTCAGGCAGGAAATGAAAAATGGAGGCTAAAAATACTGGGTGAGTCTTTAGGGGAAATAGAATATTTACATGGTCTCAAAATATCTTCAAATATATAACATATTAGTTACCCAGAGAGAATTACCCATGTCTTTAAAGTGAAAAGCACTCAGAAGATACCACCTTAAAGAAACAATCAAAAATTAACATCACTATTAATATGCAAAAATAATAACAATAATCTGTTGTTCCAGATGTGATGCACTGTGAAGGATATAGTAGGACTTCTCTGAAATTCTTGCCAAAAATGTATAAATTGAATCTAATCAAGAGAAAACAGAGCCATCAGTTATTCTACGATACAACTGGCATGTAGTCTTAAAGTATGTCAAAGTAATAGGAGTGAAAAGAAAAAGAAAGTGAGAGGAAGTATTCCAAATTAAAGGAGACTAGAGAAATGACAACTAAAGACAATGAGTGATCCTGGACTGGAAATTAATGCTATGAAGAACATTATTGGGACAACTGATGACATTTGAATAGTGACTCTGAATTAGATAATTATTATATCATTGTTAAATCACTGTTTTTTGTTTGTTTGCTATATTTATGGAAGTTATATAAGAGAATGTCCTTGTTCTTAAAAAATACACACTGAAGTATGGAAGAGTAAAATGTTGTGATGTCTGCAACTTTCTCTTGCTCATATACATATCTTTAGATATACAGATGCAAATATAGATATAATTCTCTCATGTACATGGAAAGATGATTATGAGGTTAATGTACCCAAAGAATTTGGTCTTTGTCCTTGGTTCCTGAGAAATAATCTCTGAAGCCTTGGAATCTCCCCAGTGATATCAGCCATCCTCAGGAGAGAAGCACCTAAAGATGGAGTTCAATCAATCATGACTATGTAATGAGGCCCCGAGAAAGTCTCTGGACACAGAAGCCCCATGGGCTTCCTGGTTGGTGCTAGACATCAGTGCACGTAGGAGGGCAGAGCCTGTCCTTTTTTGGAACATGGAAGCTCTTGTGTTGGGAGCCCTCCCAGACCTCCCCTTATGTGTCTCTTCATTTGTATCCTTCTGTAGTATAATGAAACTATAATATAAGTATAGCATTTTCTGTGAGTTCTATGAGCCATTCTGGCGAATTACTGGATCCAAGGGAGTACTGGGAGCCAGCCGGTCAGAAGTAAGAGGAGCCCTGGGGACCGCTGAGCTATGTTTGGTACCGTGAAGGGTACAAGGAACCCTCAAATGTGTAGCCAGCAGGTCAGAGGTGAGGGTACCATGAGACTTCCAAGCTTACAGCTGACATCCGAAGCGTTGAGCAGACTTGGCAATCTAGGGGACTGTGCCCTTTAACTTGTGAGGTCTAACCCGGCTCTGGATGGTTAGTGTCAGAGGAAGAAGTGTTGCATAGGCAACTGTTGTCAGAACAGATATAGAATACATTGCATTCATCTTCACATTTGGCATCAGAGAGAACTAAGATTTAATTTTTCTACACAATTATATATATATATATAAATTATAATTTGAATCCCATTTTTTTTATTTACAAGCTACATGTTAATGCCAATTTACTCGATTTCTCTAGACCTCAAGTTCTTCATTTGTAAAGTAGAAATAGTATTAATTTGTTATTCACTGGCTTGTTTTGAGGATAAAATGAAATGATGTATGTATTGTACATGATATAAACTTCAAAACATTCTGGCAGCTGCTGATGCTACTACTGTTGCTGTGGTTGTTGTTGGACTTCAGGTAGGTAGGTATGACCAGAGACTGAGCTCCATGTTGAAGAGAACAAATTATAGCCCTACCTCAGTTGTAAAGGGCATTTCTGACTGTATTGAGAAAAGAACTAACCAAAACTCGTAAGTAAGAAGCAGAAATTTCCCATAGTAGTACACATGTCAGTGTATATACATCATGACACAACTATGGTAAATACTTTGAATTAACCACCATATTTTTGCTTTCTAGATTGTCTAGTGAACTGTGATGGTTTTATGCAACTGGAGTTTTTTTTTTTTTTTTTTTTTTCTTTGTGGCAAAGCTATTTTACTGAATTTCATGGGGGGAAATGTTACAGTGACACAATTCCAAAACAAAATTATTTGACTTTAGTTTGGATTTCGTGAGGAAACATATAGAAACATGTGTTAGTAATAATACTTTCAATAAAGTGTTGTCATTAATAGCTAACTACATTAGATTCTAGATTAGCTTCTTTTGGTGCTCTCAAGTCAACACTTTTCCAAAACACATCTGACATCAATTAAAGAGAACAGTTAAAATAAACACACACAGGTTTACCAAATGTCTGGTTTGTGCTTAGAAATTAAAAATTAGATAGCCACCATTTTGGAAGTGATTTCTCAACAGTCAAATATTTTGGAAAATATCTAAAAGTTTTCTCCCCATTCAATTGATAGATGTGTTCTTTTTATCTTAATATAAGCATACATACAAAAAAAATTAAAACAAATTGTTACAACTGAGATATAAATCTTTTAAAATTAATACAAAATAAGGTGAAAAAATAAGTCCTTTCACAGAACTAGAAAAGTATACTTACTACTAACTTCTTACAAAAAGAACTAAAGTTAAATTACTGTTTTTTAAACCATTAATACCAGTACTGAAAAACATAAATGTGCTTGTAAACATAAAAGATTACATTTGTAAACTTTCTCCCTCCATTTTAGAAAATGTTTTGGAAAACAATAAAAAATCTCCCTTCTTTAAAAAACTATTACACTCATCACAATGTTCACAGCTGTCATTGTTTTTCTATAAAAACAGTTACAAATTAATGTTAATTTAAAAAGAGAACGTCAAACAATTTTAATTCCAGCATGGTTAATAAAAATGGATTAATCTCCCTAAACTCAAATCAAAGCCAGTTTGTTTTTCCATAAGCTCTAATATTTAAAACCGAATGATTATTTCCTGTAATTATTACTTTAAGTTAGTTCAGTTAATAGAATTACCTCATTTTTATAATTAAATTATCCTGAAAGAACCACCATGATGATTAAACAAAAATCCCAAACTAGTTTACATATTTAACTGGTTTTTCACATTCTAAAAATACTAGAAGTACAATCATTTTTTAACTTAATTTCCTCTAAAATTATCAAGGATAGCAATCTATTAAAATCAGTGAATTTACACACTTCAGTTAAAGTTCATGGCTCACATTCCATTCATGTAATAGCTGCATATACAAGCTTGCTATTTTCTTTGTGCAAAATTTTAAATTCAGAATAAAAGTACTTAGGATAAAACTTTTCTTCAAACAGTCTTTCCATCATTGAGGGATAGACAAGATATTTTTCAATATTTAATTTATTTTTCATACTGAGGAACCGCTTGCTGTGACCATACAATTCAAAGAATTTTTAAATTGATGTACAGTCATGTGTCACATAACATACATGATATGTTCTGTGAAATAGGACGTTATGTGATTTGGACGCTGTGCAATCACCATATTATACACAGGCAGTCCCCGGATTACAAACGAGTTCCATTTCTAATTTTGTCTTTAAGTCGAACTTGTACCTATGTTGGAAGAGTTAGGTACAGTTGGGTACGGTTCGTATCCACCATTAGTCAGTCATGTGTTTATCTACAGTGTACCTTTCTATGCATAAAAAACATTAAAGAAACACTATCAGATACACTAAAACATCTTTAACATAATACAGTAGTAATAATGTTTTGATGTGCGTTGCAAAGTAGCACCTGTTTGTTATTACGAACCGTTGTATGTACCTTGAATTTTTAATATAATAGGCTTTACAGGGGTTTGTTCATACCTACAGGTTGTACGTAAGTTAGACGTTTGTAACCCGGGGACTGCCTGTACTTAGCAAAGCTATATGGGATACTGTGGTGTACTTGTAGTGACTAAATAGCTACTGGGAAGCTATGGCGTTATGTTTGCTATGTCCCGCTCTCCGATCTGGATTTCTGAACTCTATCATAACCTTACAGGACCACAAATGTATATGTGGTCAGACAGTGCCCAAACGGATGTTATGTGGTGCGTGACTGTACTATAACACAATACTATTGGAGAAATACAGGCAGACTCATAGCAATTAGAGCTATGCCCTCACAGCTATAATCCAAATGAAGCTGATGATTTGTTAGTTCAGTTTTTAGTCATTAAATTGACTGAGGTGGGAGTGGGGAGAGAGGAGAGGAAGAGAGCAAGAGATACTATGACAGATACACAGTCTGTAATGACTCAAAGCTAAAAATAAGTCTCCTTATGGTAGCCAGGAACCATGTTTACCTATTTTCCCCAAGTTACAACTCTTCAAATGCTTTCAATTGGTTTTTCATTGTTTAAAGATGCCAAAATAAAATATAAAGCACCTAACCATGACACTTCATTTGTTTAAAATCTGACTTATTTTTGCGTATTTTAATAGAATTAGTAAGAACATCATTCAACTTATTCTTTTTAAAATAACAATGATTTCTATAGAACTGATTGATACTGATTAGAAATATCAAGAATCTAGAACTGTTGAACAATTCGCTCTTTTGGTACTGAGAACCAGAAAACATTCTGGTTCTAAACATCGCTGGTACTAAAGCCTTGGCTCTAAAATGTGCTAATAATAATGCAATTAAAAACATTAGTAATACAAAATAAAGAACTCTGTGGGGAGAGGCAAATACCAGTTTTTATCCTACTGAGGATACCCTCCATTTAAAAGGCATACCAGTAGGTATGTACTAAATTCTTAATAGATTTTTTCAATCCTAGAAATACAGGACTGAACAGCTGCTGACTCTTAACATCCCATCACACTCTCATTTGAGGGTTTCTTCACTGGGCTCTCGATGAAAAGATATGCTGAGTCACCCTACCTTTGCTTCATTTCAACCTCACCTGAAAACCAACTTTTTCCTTGTGTTGTCACAATGACAAACTTAAGTCGATACAAAGTACAAAAGTAAGCATGACAATGATAAATAGTAAGGTGCCAGGATGATCCCATACATTTGAGATCAAATCTTATGACTTATCACTGTCATACCTCCCAAGTATTTCTTTAGTCAAAATTAGATAGCATCATAAAGACTGTTATTTAGCACCAGCACGTCATTGCAGGCTTTGGTTCAGGCTTCAGGATAATTCCATTATCAGGGGGTTGACTAAGCATTAATGGTTTGTGGCTCTTAAGCTTATGAGCCAAGGTCATAAATATAGCTTCCACATGGTCATTATCATTGGGGTTTTTAGCAGAGGTTTCAAACAAAGGCATACTGTGTGTGTCAGCAAATTTTTGTGCCAAGTCTGTGGGTACTTGAATGGCACTTCTCAAGTCACATTTATTTCCAACAAGAATCCGTGGTATATCACTGGCTAGCAAATGTTGTTTGCATTCTTCTATCCAAGATGGCAGGCTACGAAAACTAGCCATGTTGGTCATGTCATACACGAAGACAACAGCATGAACGTTTCGGTAGTAGTGTTGTGCCATGCTCTTTGTGAATCGTTCTTGTCCTGCTGTGTCCCATAACTGAATCTTGATGCGCTCTCCATCAATATCCACCGCTCGTTCTCGGAAATCCACCCCTATAGTGGCCTCGGTGCGGTCGGGGAAGCCACCAGCGCAAAAGTGATAGGTCAGGCACGTCTTGCCCACATTGGAGTCGCCGATCACGATAATCTTGAAGATGCGGGAGCGGGCTGGAGGCAGAAGCCGTGAGGTCCCCGACCCCGTGCCGCTGGACGAGAAGCTTGCCTCCAGCGACAACTCCATCTCTGAAGCCATTCTCCTCACCCGCCCCAAACTGAGGCGGAGGAAAGGAGACACAAAGGCTGGGAGATTCCGCCACCCCTCGACCCCGCTCAGCTGCGCAACGTCCCCAGAGCCACCGCCCTCCACCCGGGCAGCGCGCGTGCGCACCTCCCCAAGCCCGCCCCCCACGCAGGTGGGGCGCCCACCGGCCCCTCCCTCCCCACTCGCCGTTCCACCCCTAGCATAACTTGGGCCCATGCCAGTGTACCTGCCGGAACTGGAGTTTTATTTGTTTGTTTGCTTGCTTTGTTTGTTGGTTGATATTATTTTCCCTGGGAAGCTTTATGTGTCACGGGCAGAATAGTACCATTTTCTTTCTGGATTTCACAACATAAAGCAGAATCACTGTGACTGCCTTGCACATAGACACAGCCATGCAGAAGAAAAGGAGACAAAGACACAAAATCTAGGATTGTGTGAATGGTGATTGGAAAGCAACAAATGTCTCCATCTCTCCTCTTTTTGTGAATGATTTGGTGACCCTGACTCTAAAGCAGCCTAACAAATCTTTACTCCAGACTGCAGAGCAACTGTAATGAATGTTGGAGGGAGTATATCTTCTTGGGTAAGACCTTGGGCTCCAAAGTCAGACTAGATTTAGACTCTGGCTCTGCTACTTACCAGCCATGTTGACCTTGGTCCATTTATTTTATACTGTACCCAGATTTCTCAACTGAAAAAAAAAGGAAATAGAGGCTGCTACCTTTTATTGTGTGCTTGTGAAAAAATAAATAAAATATGCATGTAAAGATTTTACATCCATATAGTAGTGGTGATGATGATCATGTAAGCAATGGAGCAGCAGTTGTCAGGTCACCAATTCACATATTATGCAGACGTATTTTTTTTCAGGCAATGTGCTAGACACTGATAATAGAAAAACAGTAAAGTACAGTTTCTGCATCATGGAAATAAATTTTAATGAGAGAAGAAAGGGGAGCTAAGATCTGTAATTCAATATAAAAAATAAGTGTAAACACATTTAAGGTATGACAGAAGCATACAGAATAATTGTATAAATGTGACTGAGCATTTAGAGAAATCTGGCTAGGGGAGGTAATGGTGTATGAAGTCGTTTTAGAGTTCAAACTGAGGAGATAACTTTTTTGAAGAGGAGGAAGAAATTCAAGACAGTGTAAAGGCACAAACACACGAAGTAGTAAGATTAAAACGGTATGACAAAACCAAGAATCAAGAATTAAAGGCTGAAGATGGTCTCAGGGAATATCTAGCTCAATTGGTATAACATAGTTTATAAAGAAAATGTTCTACATTCTGCCTCGGTGTGTAGCGTCTGGTGTCTTAAAAGCCTGTGAGCAGCCATCTAAGATACTCCACTGGTGTCACCCCTTCAGGAGAAAGGGAGAATGAAGAAAACAAGATACAAGGAGAAGATTAGTCCAAAGGACTAATGGACCACAACCACCATGGCCTCCACCAAACCGAGTCCAGTACAGCTAGATGTTGCCTGGCTACCACTACTGACTGCTCCGACCAGGATCACAATAGAGAGGGCCCTGGACAGAGCTGGAGAAAAATGTAGAACAAAATTCTAACTCACAAAAATAAAAAAAGAAAGACAAGACTTACTAGTCTGACAGAGACTGGAGAAACCCTGAGAGTATGGCCTCCAGACACCCTCTTAGCTCAGTAATAAAGTCACTCCTGAGGTTCACCCTTCAGCCAAAAATTAGACAGGCCCACAAAACAGAATGAGACTAAATGGGCACACGAGTGCAGGGGCAAGGATGAGAAGGCAGGAGGGGACAGGAAAGCTGGTAATGGGGAACCCAAGGTTGGAAAGGGGAGAGTGTTAGTGTTGACATGTCATGGAGTTGGCAATGAATGTCATTTTTAAAAAATTAAAGTTCAAAAAAGAATTAATGACTAAAGAGTAGAGTGATTGATCCCTAGCTGAGGTAAGCTTTAATGTGTAGGAACACAGAAATCCCTTATATTATCCTTTGAGGAGAAAACAATGGCAGATGTGTTAATCTATCCAGAGGGAAGTCTGGTTTTACTTAACATGGCAATCCCAGGTTCCATTTCATGCAGACCATCTCATGAAGAAGTTCTGTATTAGATTATTGGACTCTTAGATTGTCACAACTAGAGGATCATATAGGTCATTTTCCTAAATGGTAGTAGCCATAAAACTGCATTAAAACTATGTGGGGAGGTTTAAAAAAAATACATATTGCTGAGCACCACTCCCAGACTTTTTGAGATTATTGGTCTACAACAGGACTTGGGGATTTCCCTCTTTGCTTTGCTCCTCTTCTCCCAAAATGTGATTCCTATGGGCTACTAAGTTTTTAAACCACTGAACAGCCACCCTTTATTCCATGTGAGGAGACTGAGCCTGAAAAAGTGAATCCCTCTTAAATCATAAAATCAGTGAATAGAAAAATTAGGACTAGAGCCCAGGTCTTCTAACTCCCAATACGGAACTTTGCCTCTGGACTTTTGGAACCCTATAAAGCAGCACTACCTTTTCCACTGGCTTTTCATGATGCCAGTCAAAGCAACCATTAGAATCACTCCTTTCAATTTACAGCAGAGCTTTCAAATCAGGAGTAACAAACTAGCAGACTCTGGCCACTGAGCTATTTCATGTATCCTGCATATAATTTTAAAATAATTTGTAATGCCTTTACACTGGGCACGCGCTCGCCAGTTGGCCAAAATCTCCTCCAAAGATAATTGTCTTACACCTGTTGTTGTTGTTAGGTGACGTCAATTTTGTTCCAACTCATAGCAACCCTGTGCACCACAGAACGAAACACTGCTCAGTCCTGCGCCGTGCTCACAATTGTTGTTATGCTTGAGAGCATTGTTGCAGCCACTGTGTCAACCCATTTCACTGAAGGTCTTCCTCTTTTTTGCTGACCCTGTACTTTACCAAGCATGGTGTCGTTCTCCAAGGATTGATCCCTCCTGAAAACATGTCCAAAGTATGTAAGACATAGTCTTGCCATCTTTGCTTCTAAAGAGCATTCTGGTTGTACTTCTTCCAGGACAGATTTGTTTAGTCTTTTGGCAGTCCATGATATATTCAATATTCTTTACCAACACCACAACTTCTAGATACTCTCATTTATATAGAGTTTCAGTTCAGTCCCTTGTAGGCATTTAAGTTTATGATCTACGTCCTATAGAGCCACTAAATCCAAATAACTACACCAGAAGGTAACCCACTAAAACCTTTTGAAACAGCATTCACCCAGATTAGTTAATCAATTTGTCTACAATTAATTAATCAAAATAAGGTAATAAAGCTGCATATGATTAAATAAATAAATAAGTCTCAGAGTACTTTCAAAGCCAAGTCACGTTTTATCACTTCCCACCCTTCAACATTGTTTGTATCACATACCTTTCTCTCTCTAGCCATAGCTGACTAACTCAGAGCTGGACACCTAACTATGAGGAACCAGTTCAGAAGCTAGGCAGGGCTGGTCAGATTTTCTTTCTCAAAAAAGTACAATGGGTACACTTGGAAATCAAGCAAATTAAAGTGAGGTACAAGATTTATAAAGTAAATAGCTTCAAGCACAGGGGTCACTCTTTGGCGGGCAAATCAAGATGAACCATCCTCTGTATACACCAAGGATACTCTCTGCAGATAGAAAATGATACATGGAAGGAAGAGATGGAAACACACGCAGCTCCAGAGAAAAACAGACGGGGAGAATAATTACTTTTATTACGCATAACCTCCCAGATCCTTTTTTCCAGTTCCACATAAGGCATGCCTACAATTTCTGCTCTTGGCTTTGGACAGATTGCTATTACCAATTTCCTTAGATCAGTTGCAGTGGACTTTAGTTTCTTACAACCAACCATCACAGGCAAAGTCAGCCACCTAGGGATAGACTTTGTAGGTCAGCCCACAGACTGCATATATATTCATAGAGTGTTAAGTCACTAAGAGGGTTTGGAAGCAATGAACTTTTTTTTTTTTGGTGGGGGTGTGGTGGGGGGAAGTGAATTGAAAACGTCAAAAGTAATAGATATTTTCATGAAAAGAAAAATTTGAGGGGGGATCAGGTTATGAACATCCTATCCCTGAGTAGTGAAAGATCTTTTCAAAGTCATCAATAGATACAAGACAGTTTGGGGTATTTCCACCCACTAAATTAATTAGCAAGCACTTTAACTTGTATTATAAAGACTATATTTACTTATTTATATATTTGTTTCCATTAATAAAAATAAAAAAGTTGTATTCTTGACATTTCAGCTACGATGAGCTTTGAAGTATAATGTGAAGTATAAACAAAATTATCTGGAAGGAACTGAAGTTGCATGTGTGACTCTAACCACCCTAGAACGGTTTGAGGGCCTCCATGGTCATCAAAAGCAAGGTAAGATCAGACTATGCTCCTCATGGCTCTTTCTATCTCAAACATTCTCTGTTGTTAATTGCCTCTGAGGTGACTTGGACTCATGGAGATGTTATGCATAACAGACAAAACATTACCCGGCCCTACACCTTCTTCATGATTGTTGGTATATTTGAGCCCATTATTACAGGTATGTGTAGTGTTTTCCAATTTAGCAGGCTCATCATCCACATTTTATAGGACAATATTCTGTCGTAATCCATAAGGTTTTCACTGACTAATTTTCAGAAATAGTTTGCCAGGCCTTTTTTCCTAGTCATTGTTAGTCTGAAAGCTTCACTGAAATCTGCCCACCATGGATGACCCTGCTGGCATTTGAAATACCAGTAGCGTAGCTTCCAGCATCATAACAACATGCAAACCACCACAGCAGGACAAACTGACAAAATTTTCTGATTACAGTTCATGAACCTACACGGAAATCACTTCAGATATCAGTGGTGTTGAGTTTATAGCATCTGTAGCTAAGACTGAGAAAACACTCAGCTGTTCACCCTGTTCCCCTAGGTTGCCCTAACCTTTCCACATTCAAAATAAATGTCCTCGTTTGTGTTTATCCACTTTTGAGTAAGGTAACCTTTTGTAAATGCATAATTGAGGCAGC